CACTGCTGGCCAACCAGGTCTCCACCCGGGTTCACAGGAATCTGTTGAATGTTGTAGGGCTTGGCTCACAGCTTCATTGCTGTTTTTCCCTCACTTCCCCTTATCGGTGATGAACGTGGTCACCAATCAGAGCGTGTATTCCCATTGAATCTTAATCTTGGAAGGGGGTTTGCCCTGAACACTTTCCTTAATATCTCCTGGGTGAGCAACTTGCTTGTTGTTCCCATGATACCTTATATGGATATATTTATGTAATACTTGCAGTCTAAACACACCAGGAGTTCCTGGTGTGGTGCTGTGGGATAATGCATTGGACTGCAAATTTGGTTTGAACCACAAGGTTGGCGGTTCAAATTCACCAGCCACTCCTTGGAAGCCCTGTATAAGGTGCTGTGAGTTAGAACCAACTCGATGGCACTCAACAACACCAACAAACATTGTATATTATAATAAAATGTAAAATGTAAGTATTTTAATGATTTCAAATATATAACTATATCATTGCCGTTGAGTTGATTCTGATTCATAGCGACCTTTTCTCCTGAGTAACTACTGGTGATTTTTAGCTGCTGACCTTGAGGCTAACAGCTCAATACCTAGGCCACAGTGCCAAAGCCTCAGAAATCCTTAATGACAGTGGGTTTGGAGTAGCACTGTAGGATTAACACTGGATTGCTAACTGCAAGGTTTGAGAGTCAAATCCACCATCTATTTACTGTTCAGAAACCCTATATAGGGTCGCTGTGAGTTAGAACCGACTTGATGGCACTTACCAACAATGTATAAAATGTAAAAATATGTTGTTAAGTGTCATTGGGTTGGTTCCTACTCATAGTGATCCTGTGTAGGCTTGCCAAGGAGCAGCTGATGGGTTTGAACTCATGATAGCCTTGTCTGTGCACAGTAGAACCATTTTAAAGACTGTGACCTTTTGGAAGCAGATGCTAGATCTGTCTTCAAGATACCTCAGGGTGGAGGTAAAATTGGTCAGTTTTAATCTATGAAAATTATACCTCAATTAGTTTGATTTTAAAGTATATTACATACTTACTATTATTGGAACTGAACAAAGTATATATACACTTCTTAGTTGCTTTCATGACTGATAGCAATACTTTTATTTGTTTTCATGGACTAAAATTGGCTAGTTTCAATAAAGTATTCACCTATGTAATCATCACCATTAATGTATAGAACTTCTCCATCATTCCAAAAAAGTTTCTTGTTTCCTATTGTAGTGATTTCCCAACACCTTCACTCCAGCTTTCTAACATTAAGGATTAGTTTTGCTTTTTCTAGATGTTCATGTGAACAGAGTCATATAATATATGCTCTTAATTTGTTTAGACAGTCATCTGTTACTGAATATTTGGGTTCTAGGTTTTGACTGTTATCAATAAAGCTGCTGTGAACATTTGTGTATAGTGTTTCATTTTGCTTGGTTGTAAGCATCGGGAAATGGAACTACTAAGTGATTTAAAAAGTGTATACTTGGCAAACTTCTCTTCCAAATGGTTGACATTTCGATTTTACATTTATACTAGCAGTTCTAGAGTATTCCAATTGCTCGGAATCCTCACTGGCCCTTGGTATTATTGTTTAAATCATTCTCATGTATATACAGTTGTAATATAAAAATTTAAACAAATATTTGTATTTCAAGTGGCTAAAATTAAGGAAAAGTTTAGAGTTGGATGGTGGTAAGCTTTTTGTTATCTTTAAATCTGGATAGTCTAAAACAGCGCTACTAAAGATTTTATATAATGGACATTTCAAAGCAATGTAAAAATTGCATGCCATATATTTCTTTTCAGTCCTATTATAGTTTCCAGCGAAGAGTAAACAAATAGTTCCAATTGTTTAGTAGAACATATGATAATTTGACATTTCACTTAGTTTCAAATAATATAACATAACCCATATTTTACCTATAAAAATTACATGTTTAGAAGGTGATATATATAGGAGCTCTGGTAGCATAATGGATTATGAGACGGTCTGCTAACTGCAAGGTCAGCAGTATGCAACTACCATCCACTCCATGAGAGGAAGATGAGGCTTTCTGTTCCTGTAAAGATTGATAGCATTGGAAGCGCTATCCAGGATCACTGTGAGTTGGAACCAGCTCCATGGCACGCAACCACCATATACATGATAAACACTGGACTGCTAACTGCAAGGTCAGCGATTGAAACGCACCACCTGCTCCTTGGAACCTCCTATACACGGTCATCATGAGTTGGAACCAATTCAACAGCACCTAACAACAGTAACAACAGCATACTTAAAAAATATATATATAGGGAAAAAAACTTTTAGTGATAAAGATAGCTATCACTCACTGAGTACTAATGATGTGTCAGACATTATCCTAATAACACATAAAATATGTTTTATATACATACCTTTTGCCATCAAGTTGATTCCAACTCCTACAGCCTTGTAGGAGTGTAGAACTGTTCCTTAAGGTTTCTGAGACTGGAAATCTTTATGGCCTCATCTTTCTTTTGCAGAGCAGCTGGTGAGTTTGAACTGCTACAGTTAGTAGACCAGTGTCTATCCCACAGCACCACCAGAGCTATATATATATATATATATATATTAATACATATTATTTCCATTTTATAAAGATGCCCATAAAGCACAGAGATATGAATTCCACTGGGTTAACAAATAATAGTATGAATAAATTGATAAAAGAGTGACTGAATTAGATAGGAGGAAGGATAATTGAATAACAAAGTTAGGCCTGTTTTTTGTTTGTTTAATTATATGTCATACATAGAAATCTTGTAGCTTTACTTTGATCACAGTGGGGTTTTGAAAAATTGTTTAAAGAAATGACTTACTCTTAATTTTTCTATTGCTGTCATTGTTAAGTGCCATCGGGTTGGTACTGACTCATTGCAACCCTATGCACAACAAAATGAAACACTGTCTGGTCCTGGGCCAACCTCACAATATTCTATAGTACGTTATAATTTAACTTTTAGATTGTTTTAGTAATTTAGCTATGTATCTGTGCTTTATGGTCTTGAGTGTTTGTTATTAGTATAGAAATAGAACGTTCTCAAATATCTGCCATCATAAGGATTTAAATACATTTGTTATGCTGCTATAGATTGAATTGTATCCCACAAAAGTGTGTCACTGTGAGTCGGAACTGACTAGTTGGCACTTAACAACAACAAACCTGTGGTTATAATCCCATTTGGGAATGGATTATCTTTGTTATATCAATGATGTAACTAACAACAGTGTAGAGTGTGTTTTAAGCCAATTGTCTTCGAGATATAAAAAAGCAGATTAGGATAGAGAAGTAAAGAGATGGGGGAGATAAATGGCAAGCCTTAAGTAGCTGAGTGAGCAACAGATGTTAGTTGAGAGGAGACAAGAAACTTCCCATAGAGAGGACAAAGAGAGAAAACCTCCTCTTAGAGCTGGCATCCTGAATTGGGACTTGTAAACCATGAGAAAGTAAACTTCTGTTTGTTAAAGCCATCCACTTGTGGTATTTCTGTTACAGTAGCACTAGATGATGACATATACTGAGTAAGGACAAAAGTCACAGATAATGCAATTTTACCACAGTGTCTGATGTGTGAATGACTTAATGAAATTTTTGAACTTTTTTTCTTCCCAGGAAAGTTACATTCAACAGAAAAAGGAACTATGGGGGATCTGTATATTTATTGCAGCAATTGACCTAGATGAGATGCCATTCACATTTACTGAGCTACAGAAAAACATAGAAACCAGGTAAATTTTCTTACATAAATATGGATCTCTACCATTAAACTACTTTTTGACATTACTCTTTATAGATATAAGAGAATTGTAACAGTTGATAAAGTAGACAAAAAAAAAGCAAAGATTTCTTAAAAAGTAGAATATTACACTACATATTAAGAACCTTATGAATATAGTTTGTGCCTCTCTTAAAGAAATTCAGGAAGTTTTATTTAAACTGAAGATTGTTTTAATAAAGTCAATAATATAATTACATACTTTTTGAAACTGTATATTCAGTTGGCTATCTAACACAACATTTGACCCAATATAGTTGGCCCTCCATATTCATGAGTTCTGCATTTATTAATTGAACCAATTCACATATTCAGAAAAAGAAAAATTCCAGAAAGTACCAAAAAAAAGGAAACTTGAATTTGCTGTGTGTCGAGTACAGTGCTGAACACGTGTGAATGAAGCAATGTGCAGGCGGACCCCGTGAAAACCGCCTGCCATTTCACAGCTCCTCTGTCTCTCCAGCACTCACTATTGGAACATTGTTCACCTCATTCTTTGCTACTTGTGTTGTGTGTGACCTTTGTTTCCCTGAAAAAATGGCTCCTAAAAAGCAATTAAGTAGTCAAAGCAATCCCTCAAAGGCTAAGACAGAGCTTAAAGTGCAATTTACAAATCATTTGCATTATGTTAGGTATTATAAGTTATCTGTTGTTGTTTTTAAGTGCCATCAAGTTGGTCACTCAGAGTGACCCTGTCAGTTTATTTAGGGTTTCTGGGGAGCAACTGGTAGGTTTGAAACACAGACCTCATGGTTACCAGTGCAGTGCTTCTCCTATGTTATGACACATAGATCATCTAGAGATAATTAAATGTATACAGGAGGATGTGTATATGCAAATACACATCCTTGGATTTGGGTTTGGTGGTGAGAACCTGGAACCAATCCCCTACACATACTGAGGGATGACTGAAAGTACTTAATGAATGTTCTTGAGTTTATAAGCCTTACAGTAGGAGTTTACTATTTTTCTGCCCTGATAATTCATGAGCTTTTTCTTGAGGAGTCTTCTGAACATCTAGTTTATATAATTTAATCAAATAAGTAGCTGTTTATATTGTGTTGTGAATAAAGCCATCTGGAATTAAGCATAATTGGTATCTTATTTGAATGAGATAAATTAAATCATTACATTTCTATATATTTGTGTGTGTGTGTATGTATACAGTCAACTTCTGGTGTGTTGCTGTAGGAAAAGCACTGGACTTCTAATCTCAAGGTCAGCAGTTCAAACCCACTAGCTGCTCCTCTAAAACCCTATATAGTACATTATGAGTCAGAATCTACTTGACGGCACTTAACAACATGTTCAAACAACCTCTCAGAGATTTCTTAGTTTATTAAAGAAAATAACTAAATCCAAATAGTTTTATTTTAATTTAGTTGAAACAATTCTGAATGTAAAAATAAATTTCTGCATTAATTTATTCATTCAGCAAACTTTTTATCAGCCTTAAGGATAAATCTGAAAAGATACCGATTTTGGGGGTTAAGACAGACTTTGAGTTGAAATCTGTGTCATGGTATAAGCTGTACAACTTGAGACTGATTGCCTAACATGGTTGAGTCTTAGATTCCTCATCTGAGAAATGAAGACTCTAGGTGTTACATAGATGCAGGAGAATGGGATCCTTTATAGTGGATAGAGAATTCGGTTGCTGAAAGAGTCAGTGCTTGTAACACCATATGCTTTGACCAAATAACAGTCTCTTTCCTTCTAAAGCCTTGCACCTCCCACCCACCTACCCCACAAAAAAGAAAACAGAAAACTAACCAAAACAAGAGAGGATGAAAGGGAGAAAGAAGAGAGGGAAGAAGAGAGAGAGGGAGAGAAAACGTTAACAGTGGAGATGCTTATAGCACGGTGCTAGATTTTAAGGATATTTATTGTTGTTGTTATGAAGTGCCACTGAGTCGGTTCCAACCAGTAGCGACCCTGTGTAGAATTTCCGAGGAGTGACTGGTGAGCTTGAATTGCTGACTTTGAAGTTCACACAGCTTTGAAGCCTGGCTCATTAACCCACAGTGCTACACCTGGACTCATATAGTTGTATACAGGCTGTTAAATAAATATGACTGAAATTTTTGTTATCTCAGATTGTTACATTTTTTTATCTATAATATGAAAGAATTTTCCTGGTAGAGTTTTTCCTAACTTTTTCTCTTGAGTATTCCTAGAGCAATGTGTTTTTACATATTTACTGTAATGATTGACATATTAGATATGTCAAATCTATCTATGATAAATGGAGTAGTATGTTTGATACAGTTTTTCCTTAGACTATCTCTTCTTCCTTTTATAACTATCCAGGAATGTTAACTAGGCCACTGCTTCTCAAACATGCTGTGGTGAACCTTCAGTTTCTGAAGACAACAACAGCTAATGAATTACAGGGAAAATAATAAAGAAAGGACATGCGAAACTGTAGCCTCAAGTTTTTTTTTAGATTCAGCAGGCATACAGTGCTGTCTAATTGTCAGGAAAGTTTCTTTCTTTTTTTCCATTCAATTAGTTCTTTTTAAATTTTTAAAAAGATTTTTATTGTTGATTGAGTGAATGTTTACAGGGCAGATCATCAGTTTTACATTCAACAAATCATACATCTTGTTTCATTACAATGATTATAATCCTCTCCATGTACCAGCAGTTAATAGTATTTCTCTCTATTCACTTTAGCTTTTTTAAAAACAAACAAACAAACAAACAAAAAAAAAAACCACTCAGGCATATATAATAATTTACTCCTCCAAGGGCCACATTCTGCAAGTTTGCCTCCTGGCTGCCAGCTCTCAGTCCCTCTCTTCCCATGAATCCAGAGTCCTCAGCCCCTCCCCCTCTCATGACCCCATGTCTTTCTCACTCTCCCCTTCTCATGACCCCCTCTCAGACAGATGTCTTTCCCTTTCTCCCCCTCTCATGACCCCATCTCTGGCGTTGCTGCTTCTCTGGATAAGGTCCCGCATTCTGCTTGTGTTCTTCTCCCTTGATGGTCTTAGAGTCCTCTGTTTCTAGACTGTAAGATTAACCACTCACCTGTTTTTGTTACAGAACTTGTACCTTTACAGTTGTGACAGTCGCAGTTATTCAGGATAACAATTATTCACTATTGACTCATACGAATCTTATCTCCATCTCTTTTCACCAGACCCATCTAGACAAGATGAAAACTCTTCAGTGGGGACTCTTTCTCCCCACTCCTCCCCATACTCTTAAACTAAACTCCCTCTTGTCACTTCATTCCTTTATCACCCCCTCATTTTAAGTAGCCAATGTCTAAGTTGCCTGCCCCTAACTACCCAGTGTACAGAGGGGATAGCATTGATACTTGATGAGAAGACTCCTTCTCTCTCTGTTGGTATTTAGAGTCAGTACCTCCATGAGTATAGGGCAGGTTTATTAAATTGTAGCAATTTACCCTTGTTTCCTTTATCAAAAAAAAATTTTTTTTTTGTAATCTTCCTCTAGTCGAGTTCTCATCAACAAGCCATCAAAGGTAGGTCAAATGGCTACTGTCTGCAAGTCTGGGTGTTCTTGTGCATCTCCCCTCACTTCGTATCAGCTGGATGCTTCACTTTCAGCTCTAGCCCTCTGTGGCTATGTCCTTGTCTGTGGGCTCAGGTGTCTCCAGATCTCACCACACTCTGGACCAATCAGCCTTTCCTCTTATCTCTCTTCTCCAGGTCTACGGGAGTCTATGGACTGTGGTTGAACTCAGCCCATTTCTTCATTGCTGTCTTTGCCCCTTTTTCACTCACCAGTAGACCAGTGTGGTTGCCAGCAAGCTTACATGCCTGTTGCTGTGTTCCCTTTGAATTTCAATCTTAGAGGGGAGTTTGTCTTGAAGGAACTTGATTGCTTGCTTTGATGGCTTCCCGGCGAACACCTTGTTTATTCTTGTATTAACCAGTCATGCTGATATTTTTGTTTTGGGTTTTTCCTGATGATCTTTCTTTGAAGATGTATCTTCTGTTGCTCTAGCTGTTCCAGGCTGGCCTGCTTGTCCTTTCTAGTGGGAACGTCCCACCTCAGAAGGTTCTGGATGGGACTCCACGTAAGGTTCTATACTCTACAAAGGCTTTGCAAGAGGCCTATTTCACTGGACAAGTTCTAGAACCCCTTTTAGGTATTCCAATCAGTTATACGCTGAAGACAGGCTTACAAGTTTCTCTAATCATGCTTCCCAACATTCCTTTCTATTTCATTCAAGTGTCTATTTTACAGTAGTAGGCAAGGGAAACCATTATTCATAAGACAGTCAAGCATTTTAGTATTATTTCCCCTCTTCAAACTATGCATAAATCCCTGTATCCCAGAGCCCTGTTGTTCCAAGGTTGAGCATGCCTTACTATTTACCTCTGTCCCACTTAGGCCATGCAAACCTGTCGCAGTGTCACCTTATCTATCTTGTTTCCGCCTCCTCCCCTGTCTTGTATTGCCCTCCCCAACAGCTGAACTAAACCCTCCACTCCAATCCCTCCATTGTGGTTACCTTATGTTCCATTAACTCCTACCTCCATTTGAAACAGTCTATTTTATCCTGTAATCTACCTGACCTTCCTACCACCTGGATCTCTGTTCCTCTGTGTTTACCTTCTTTCACATTGTAATTGTTTTGAT